AGAAAGACTGTAAAATAATGTTCTGACCAACATAAGAATCATAAGGAACATTTCAGCAATCCGTGAATAGGAACCCTGACCAGCCTTCAAATTTGTTTTTCACCATAACCTGTTGTCTGTCTGTGTACATAAAGAGAAGTTTATAAGGGAATACAAGGTTTAATTTGGAGTCTTACTTAGAATGATGATTATATAGCTGCTTAGCTAGAGCGGGAATCTAATTTTTAAAAATAAATAGGTCATTTTTGTTAAGTAACAAGAAACCTGATCTGTTCTAACAGTCTGGGACTATAAAGCTTTAACATTTATGTCAACTCCTCGAACAGTGGGGCTTGATTTCTAGCATGCTAGACCTGAGAGTCATGGCAAAACACTATTGACACAGTGAGCAATTGTGAAGACCACCAACCTGGAAGATTATTTGGATACTTAGTGACATGTACACCAAGTGTAATTTTACCATTTTAGCAACATCTCATGGACAGTCGATAATAGCCACATTTGCGCTTTGAAAAACAGTTTTCTTTGGGTTTTTTTCTTATGAAGTGCCTTCTTTCCTTTTGTTACTTTTTCATCATTTGTAATTGTTATATATTTTCATTGTATTCAAGAAAATTATGGTTTTAACACGTTAGCTGATATTGACACTCATTCCCATTACATCAAGAGTACAGCATTGAACCTAACTGAGGCTCTCCCTCTACAAGGTCCTACTTTCCGAACTCGCATTGCAGGAGGACAAAGAAAATGCTGCAATGATTTCCTTAAAGCACAGTCCTCTTCATATCAATGACTAGGCAGAGCTTACTGCCAATCATTCAAAATGGTTACAATTTGTCTATCAAGCTGCATCATGCTTTGAGTTGAAATGTGGTAATGAGGCAGAAGAATAACAGCAGAGAAGGAAAGAGAAGGAAGTACTGCACTCTGTATTCCATTACCTTGTGTGATGCCCTGTCCCATCTGCCCAAAGATCTGCAGGTTGAGAATCAGCCTGTTCAGTTATGTAAATATCAACAGCAGAAATTCACAGCAAAGTAGATATCATCCTTGAATGATTGCAAACTGACCAACCACTAGATAGTAATGCAAATAAACAACTTCAAGTAATCATTCACCAGAACTCAACATAGTCAATAAAATAATTTTATAAATTAGAATTAAAATCATGTAGTGTTTGTGTTTAAACTTATGGCCACGCTTGAACAGAGGCTGCAATTACAATATACTCATTCTCTTACAAAACAGCTTAGGTATGTCATTTAAAACATGTCAATACATTGCAACAATTTAATGTGGGATGACAGGTTGATCCTAGAAAACGTACCAACATGTGACAATAGTGTTTTGCAAATGCTTAACTGAATCCCCAAGTGAGGTTCCAAATTTGTTATGGTTCTAGACTGGATACCCCAGATCTCTAAGCACACAGTTGAGAAGAGACGAATAGACTCTTCTATTTCACTGACATCCTTGCCTGGTCACGACAAAGTTTATTTAAAAAGAATTCCTTCACTAGTAGATACTTTTCTTTCAAACCAAATGAATTGATGTTTTAACCATTTTAAGCAGGCTTTCTTGAGTTAACAAAAGCATGAGTTTATTAATTACTAAATATGACAGAGATAATAATACAACATACACAATTATTATTCCTAATCTGTGTGTGAGCCCAAAAAAAAATTTAAAATGTGGATGTCTCGGAGTCAAATTCTTATTCCTAATCTGTGTTTGTGCCCAAAAATTTTGTCTCTGAGTCATTCGTGAAGTGTAAATAGTAAAATGCTGTGGCTGTTATGTTGGATGGCACCAGTAGTTTGATGTTGATAGTTGAGCTGTCAACTTAGAGAGTCTTGGCTTTGCAGGTTAATTAAAATTCTTGTGCACTGAGTCCTTTCAATGGTGTCTAGCTGGAAGCATTCATTGCAAGTATCTTCATCTTTTACCTGCAGTACATACTTCGGGCATGTTTAATAACTTTCCTCAACTCAAACTGTGACTTGGTACACTAGTCCACACGCTCGTATATAAGATCACTAATACACACAGACCATCTGATGCAGTCAGTATTTAACCTTTCTTTTGTATATCCTGGGATGGTTAAATCACAAACATGTCTCTCGGAGATGATTGCCTGCCAAAAGGGTCAGCCTCTTGTTAGATCTTCCTCTTTTTGTTTGAATATTCCCTGATTGTACAGATGTGACAGTCCATGAATCCACATAGGATTCTGTCAATTGCTGAACTTACATTTACAGTCCTGTTTAAACATTTGGTTGTGCAAAGGATTATCAAAATAATTAGGAAGCATTAAAGCCAAGTAAATTTAATGTCCGTATTAATATCATGATGTGTTACATATGTTGAGTAACTTTTACCTGAAACTAACTTAGTAACAGGGTCACAGATGACTGGAATGCAAATTATTCTGAAAACATTTTTTAAGTACTTTAAATAAGTTTATAAAGATCTGAGATGTTTAAGCAACTTTCCAAAAACCAGCAAGGCAGACAGACAAAATGGCATTCATGAACAGAGCTCTGCATAGTCTTATAAGCACACATCCATAAAGCTCTCTTCTGGTGGCCCCATTGTGACACTTCTGTCTCATCTAATGTTGTTTAAACCACATCTGTGGTATTTGCACTAAGCTTTGAAAAACATAACATTAGTTACACAGATGTTTAATCTCTAAAGCCCTTGCTATTTTATATGAAACATGTGATTACATTTGGAAATCTGCAACAATCTCTATTAACCATTTCTCCTCTCAAATAGGGTCCGCTCTGGAGCTATGCTGATGTTCATACTTATGGTCATAACTTTAGGCTTCACAAAAGCAGTAATAAACTAATACCTGGTAAATGTATTAACCATCAGTGCTAACATCATTGGACTATTTTGCAGGAGCTCCTAATCCACAAACTCATTTCAAAGCCAACAATATATCCATTTGCAGGAATAATCTGTATTTTATTAGCTACTTTATTACTTATAATAATGATTTGATCAAAACTGTTTCCTTGTCAAAACTGTCTCATAATATGTAAAATAGATTTTCACGTCAGACTTCTTTCAAAATATTATAAAGGCCTTTTTTGCAACAGCAAATCAGGTAGCATTCACGTAGAGAAACAGAATTAAGGCATCAGGTTGATATTGCATCAGAACTCAAGTAACATCTCCACAGATGCTACTTGAGCTCTTTTTTATTACTTTGTTTCTCAGGTTTTGCAGTATCTTGTTTCTCATCATTTTTAATGGAGTTTCAATTCTATATCACTGATATAGTTCATTGATATGGTTATTTGTTGGTTAAGGAATTGCTTTTTCAATTCTTGAGCACATTTCTTACTCCAAATTCAACCTGTTCACATCAAATTCGAGGCAGGACCTCTTCCTTGGATTAGGCTTTTTACAATATTCCAGACCCAAGGTACTGTGTCTACCTCTGAGCCAGAGTTCAAGACCCTCATACTTTAGAGTATGGCGTAACACACCTGAACAAGTGGATTACAAACAAGAACTATTCCAGACACAACATCAATTTCAGACATTGCTCCTGTTTACTTTTCAGCAGAAAGCATTGGTAAGGATTCTGCACTTCATTTAATCATTCTGGCCTTTCACATTATATGTGTTTTTATTCCATTCCTATCTGTTCCATGCCTCTGTTCTTGTTTGAAAACTGTTACATTCATACATTCCAACAAGCAAAATGTTACCTGCTCCTTTGTCCACAGATGACAACCACCTTGTTAACTATTTCCAGCTTTTTTGGCTTATTTCAGATTCTCAACATTTGTCGCATTTTGCCTTCATAACTTTAAATGAACAGTGGATGGCATAAGTGAATCCCAATCAATTTACATATCTACATACCAATTTACAACTTTGCTCAGTTGGCGGTAGTTTGCATGAAACTGAATTACTACTGGCTTGAATATATGCATTCTTCTGGCATATAACAATGTCATTTTTCTTTGCAAAAAGGAATTCACATGACATAGTGAACTCTGTTAACAGGGCATTAACATTCAAACTCAACAAAAGAAACATCAGCAACATTTAAAATATAAATTTTTTCTCCACTTTCAACCAGTTAAAAAGCACCGGGAAAGCACAGCCAAAGCTCAAAGGGTAAGAACAATGAAGAGCGAGAAAGAAGGAAAAGATCAAAACTAGAAGGTTTTGTATAGATTGAGAAGTTAGGTAACTTCTAAGGAACCATTCAGTAAATGGTTCTGAAAAGCAGGAATCATAAAATCTAAAATTCAGTGTCTACCAAAGTAAACATTGTATAGTGTATTGTATGCTAATTTATTTCGCACAGCTTTAGTCATAAAATTTAGCAGTATCAGGCTTAAAAAATTTACATGTACAAGGTGGGTGATCTAACAAGAGAAGATGACAATAGCCTACTTCAGAATAAAATGATTAGACAAGATTATAAAACCTAATTATGGAACCAGGTTTTTAACAATGACGTTAATGCGTCAGCAGTGAATTGAATTGTGAATCTAAGCTTGTCAAGTCATATAGTAATTTTAGACTTGAACCATAATTTTACTATTCAATAGTTTAGAAAGTTTACTTTCAAGTGAAATATAGCTATACGTTGAATGCATTTTCATACATGTAATGAATTGTAATCTTTACAAAAATACCATTTCTTAACTTGCAAGTATAGGAAAATATTAGCATGAAGCTATTAGTGGTTTTAAATTAAATATTTCTAATATTGTGCATTTCAGTTGGCTTCATCATGGAAGACTCCAGAAAATAAATGTAACTTTATCAAATGAGTTGTACTGTATGTCACTGTTGACTGCCTTGCTTGCAAATATCTTACATTTGAACAGGATATGGAAAACTTAAGATGATCTAAAATTTCAATTTTATAAAATGTAAGTTTGATCTAGTCTGCACATAAGTGAGAAAAAAAGAACAGATTAATGTGTAGCCTTAACGTAATTATCAGGAAGTGCCACAGTATATTCTATAAAAAAGACTTATATTTGTATAATATCATACATGACCTTAGGACATCCCAGAGCACTTTATAGTTAATTAAATATTTTTGAGGTCCAGTCACTGTTGTGCAGGCTGCAATTTTTCCTCTGCACAATTACTTTACAATAGAGATGCATAAGCAAAAACAAAAAGGTTTACACCAGTAAACAGTTGGATTAAACTGCAACTGTAGTCCAAACTGCATTTCAGGCACAAAAATAATGAAATCACACTTCACCGATCATAAGACTTTTACTGGTTAAACACTAATGTCATATCTAATACAAATGAAAAAAAAAACGCATTTTCCACATACACAAGTCATAATGTTTTTCAATTAGTATCAAAGACATACTGATAACTTTATTCTTATATCATTTATATCAAACGTGCTGCACCAAAACATTGAACACTAATGGCAAACTGGCATTCAAATGATATAGAAATGTTGTTCATGTATTAGGACACTACCTTTGCCAGCTCTACAAGATTTATTGCCAATATTGCATTTTACTTCAGCCAGCTGAACTTTTAAGTTTCACAGAAGTAATAATTAAACACAAAAGTAAAGCATCTTTAAACAAATATTGATTATATATTTGGTATTTTTTTGCTTCAGTTAGATCGTTTATTATGAGAATATTTGAATAAAGATAGATAGTCATCTGGTGTTTTACACAAAAAAAAATGCAAAATCCAAGTTTCATCAATAAGCCTTACATTCTCAAATAGGAACATAAATAAGTGCACTGCAAAATGTCACTTATTGCAGTTGATGTTGCTTTCATTCGATGTTCTATTTAAAGTTAGGATGTTTGGACAAAGCACCAGTCAAACTAATTCCTCTGCTTTTGGGGTTCATTTGTGGCGACTGCCACGCCTTTTCATGGCTGCTGTGCATTGTGGACAGTACCATTTTCCTTTTGGAGCTTCTGTCAGTCCAACACATCCATAATGGAACCACTCAATGGGGCACTTTAAAAGAAAATTAGTTGCTGTTAGAGGCTTCATAACCCAGCTTAATTTTATCATTAAAATGAATTTTGAGATGGATACTTTAATGCATCAAATGCATATCATTCAGTCACCATGAATAGTGTCATCTTTCATTTATTTCTTACTGTAGTTTACAATCAAGTTTTACAGTTTGTAGTGATTCAAACATTATATAATGTAAAATACTTACATCTTGATTATCACACCCTACCATTTCACCATATGACACCTGAAAACAAAGAAAAACATACATTTTCAGCCTTGCTTTTTTTACTCAGTGAGTTAATTGTGGATTATTGAACTATTGGTACCATAAGCCAGGACTGACAATGCTTACTGGGAAGTGACATCAATCTGACTAAACTTTTTATGCTAGGTTATTATGTCATTGTGGTATTTCAAAACCAATTGTAGCCTTGTTAAAATATATGATTTACCATTTCTGCAGCTACATTTCTGGCCATCCATGATTACAACTTCTCATGCAGTGCCAAAAATTCCATTTCTGATTAGTTTTTCAGGTGTCCAGCTGCATTCACAACTAAACTCAGAGACATTTATACTAGTGTCTGATGCAAAGTTAAAAATTTTCCTGTCCTTTAGGAATTAGCATTTGATTTCGGATATTCACATCTATTTCTAATACAAGGCAGTACCAAATTTCATATCTTCAACAAAATTAAATTAATTTCTAGAAGTTCAAAATTGACATATATTTGGTCCAAGAAGGAGTTTTTATCCATTTATGTGCCCCCTACTGCACGTTCCATATATTGAAAGGGCATCATGACAGCC